TACAAATTTACTTTAATCTTCAATGAACTTGTAAAATTTGTATATATATATATATACATACATACAACACTTTTTTTTTTGAGATAGGGTTTTTCTTTGTGGCCCTGGCTGTCCTGGAACTCATTCTGCTGACCAGGCTGGCCTTGAACTCATGGATCCACCTGCCTCTGCCTTCCCAGTGCTGGGACTAAAGGTGTGCACCACCACCACCAGGCCAAATAAATTGTTTTAAAATGAATTGCTAATGCTTTACTGTCAGTGCTTGATTTGTACACCTGTTTTATACACCAACAGCATAAGGCTACATAAAAATACTCTGGTGAAAAGTCACGAAGAGGAAGTTTCAGCCTTGCTCTGATGGGTTAGCTGACATTCTGTATGCACGACGCTCCCACGTCCTGGAGAAAACACAGAGAGTCTTTGCTGGGGGGATCGGACAGGGAGGCAGCACCTCACGCAGTTCCGAGGTCTGTGGTCCAGACTGGACCTGGGTGACAGGACCTCGACCGAACAAGCGCCAGAAGAATCGGGCGTCACCAGGCGTGGTGACTCACACCAGCACTCAGGAGGCTGAGGCAGGCGGGTTTGTCTGTGTGGCGAGCTCCTAGCCAGCCAAGGCTACACGGTGAAACCCTGCCTCATTCAAAACAAAACAGAACAAAGCAAAAATGGTTACAGCGACCTGGTGGGCACAGGGATCCGGTGGGTGCAGGAACCTGGTGGGCGCAGGGACCCGTTTGGCCCAGGGATCTGGTGGGCCCAGGGATCTGGTGGGTTCAGGGACCGGTGAGTGATCCAGCGGAGGGACAGGAGGGGCGGGGGCCAGCTGGGGATTAAGAACCACAGCTGGATCAGGCCGGGGTGGGGGGTGGAGGGGGGTGCCAAGGGAGACAACAGAACCTTGAGTGAGCGGAGCTTCCAGGAGCCTCTCCGCCCACCCTGCCCTCACCACCACGGGCTGCGCCAGGAGGCCCCAGGGCGAGTGGGCACGATGCCTTCCTCACAGATGTGCTGCTCACAGTGGAACCTCGGAGACGGTTAGGAGGAGCGGCCTGGCTGGGAGAGGTGTATCCCTGGGCGGCTGTGAGGTTTCAGAGGCTGCGCCAGTTTTGTCTCCCGCTCTGTCTCCTGCCTGTGGCTCCAGCTGTGAGCCTGACTGACCCCAGCACCATGCCTGACTGTGCCTGACTGACCCCAGCACCGAGCCTGACTGTGCCTG